AGATCAGTGGCCGGGCACTGCTGGTGCTGGTGCTGATGTAGAGGAAGATCTAAAGCCCGCTGTCTAAAAGCGGTTGGGTGCGGGCTGAGCTGCGGCGTGCCCTGGGGAGGGAGGGGTTGGTGCTGCCTCCTGCCGTGCCTTGCTGCGACGCTGGTGCTCTCTGAAAAGTCCTTCAGCTGGAAAGTCGGGTCAAAAAGGACGTGGTACAGCACCCCTCCCTTGAAGGTCTCTGAACCTGGATGGGGAAGGCAGCTCTGAATACGCAGCACTCCTGCCACTTCTGTGCTCGGGGTGCTGGGTCAGCTCTGAGGTGGTGGGGGGCACCCAAAACCAGGTGATGGCTTTGGGACTGGGTGACTAGAAATGCAGCCAAGTGCAAGAAAGTACTACGCTATTTCAGTCTTTTAGCATCTTCTTCTCTGTATTGGAGGTGTTTAATAGTTTTGCGGTTGTATTTCCGGTCTGTGTTTATAAACATCATGGATGTCCTCATCATTTAGTGAAACGGTGTTAATATTTACAGCTTACTTGGGATGCTGAATTCTGTGCGTTCGTTGTGTTGGAAGCAATGTTTGGGTGACCTGTGTTCATAATAGTAGATTAAGACATACGTGCATCAAGCCTCTGTTTTTTCTTTAGTTTCTCTAACACTTGCAAAATTTTTGAGCTTTTATTTTTTTTTGTGCCAGGTGTAAAGCTCATTTTATGGAATTCTTTGTGGATATTGTCAAAAGAAAGTATCTATCTTTATATATAGGCACTAACAAGCAGTCAGAAAAACTGTAGCAATGGCTTTTTGTCTTCACTATTAGACGGTGTGGTCATTCCGGTCTTAGGCAGATTAAAATACAGTAAGAAACTGTTGGTGGTGATTGTCAGAGTCTGCGTAGCTTAAGAAATAATTAGAGCTTCTGACCAAAAGGTACCAGTTTTGAGGTGAGCGGCATCACAAAATAATTTTATATTAATTTTATATTATTACTTACATATTTGTTGGAGTACCTGATAGATGCTCGCCAATAAATATATTTCAGTCATAAAAGACATTTAGTATGCTCTGTGGAAGAATCATGAAGGGCTCTGTGTATAACAAGAGTTGCAATAGATAGTTAAAAAGCACAGAATCTGTAGTGCTGGAGATGCTGTGCTTTATTTTCACAATAAATAGTGTTTTGGTATAGTATATGTAATTTTAAAAAGACACTATATTGCCTCTTTCACGCGACTGCTTTGTCTCTTGTTGCTGTGTGTGTTACCTTTAAATAATTTTATTCTTTCAGTTCTAAGGAAGGACTCCGGTTATATTGAACTCTGGCTATACTTATTTTTGACAATTTCTTTAAAAATACGGTTAAAACTGCAGTTTCTCATGATAAGAAAGTTTAAGTGAATACTATTATGAGGATTTTTGACACGTGCCAGGGATAATCTCATCGAAACAATTTCATATCCAAGTTGGTTTTATCTTTTGGCTTTTTATCAGATATGGCTCTGAAAGACCTCTTGATTTTCTCCCTTTGTGCTTACTTGTAAAGAAGATGACGGGGTGATGGTAGTGTTGGGTGAAGCCAGCTCAGCTGGCTGCCTTTATCTCATCTGTGGCTCTGCTGCAGAACACCCCAGTGAAGGCCAGAGGTGGGGAAAGTATCAGGGCCCTGTTATAACATCGCTGAGCGCTCACAACTTGATTTTCACCGGCTGCTTCACCCCTCGCATCTCTGCAGTGTTGGAGGAAGGGGGATGTGACACAGACCTCCCCTTCACCAGAGAAGGAAAACTGGTTTGGCTCCCTTTGAAATTATGTTAGAAAATTGTACTGCTGTAAAACTTTACATGAGGTCCATTTCTTGGTGTGTTGTTTCCCCCCCACTCTTTTATTCATTTGCCTTCACTGTGGAATGTCACAGTTTCTTTGGAAAACGTTTCTTATGGAGGGACTAACGCGAAAATGCAGGACGTGTGTTCTTGTTAACTTGTGTTGCCTCTGCATTTTATTTTTTGCAAAACTCAATGTTTCTTTTCTTCTGAGACCTGTCGAAAACAATCCATGTAGATATACTACTTTTACAGTGATGAGGTTAAACTGTACTGGTGTGAATTAAGCATAGATGATGTGTATGGATGAAGAGCAGATGATGTGTATGGATGAAGAGCAGATGATGTGTATTAGTCCTGGTATGGATTAAGAGTGACCTTTTCCCTGCAGCCTTAAAATTTCATGGAGGGGAGCAGTTTCCCTGGTTTGATCTATCGCATGTCCACAAAAACATTTGTTGTAGTTGGGGTGAAGCAAAGGAGGTGCTATTTATGTCAGAAGCTGTGAGCTGGTGCTAATTCAAAATGTTCGTTAAGCTCTGACACGATTTCCACAAAAGCACTGTACAGACAGCTGTCATTTCTATATATTAATGCAGGTTGCCTGGCAGCAAAATGATGATTATTCCGATGGAGGCCACTTGCACACAATAGAAAATAGTGTAAGCAATTTAGTAATCGAACCAGGTATGACTGCTCTGTTAAAAACTGAAGGGAGAGTCTTTTTTTTTTTTTTAATTAAAACTAGATGCTTAAAAGCACAAGCAGTAATGGCTTCATTTATTTTCTTCACTCTTAAAAGTCTTCTGAGGAAAGGTTTTTCTCTGCTCCTGTTTTAAGTTTGAAATGAATGTATTTCTGATTAAATTTTGAACTGCTCTGAGTAGAAAGGGAAAAGAAATTTGAATGCAGGGAAACTTATGAATGCCATGTCTTAAAGCTTAAGAAATTGGGGAGTTGTTGAATTGGTAATTAGCTACTTCTTGTAAGTCAGAATTTGAGACTCTCAAAGCTTATACTCCTTATTTTTTCCGCCTTTAATACAACATTTGTATTGGTAACGTAGTTAAAAGTTAGAGAAGACACAAGGAAGAGTATAAAATGCACTGCATAATGTTTCTTCTTTTGAGCTGCAAGATTGAATGTTTGTGTGTAATCCAAGCGAAACAGTCTACCAACCGCTGCCACGTTTTCATCTATTGGTAAACATCAGCTGCTGGTTGGTCTTGAGGGAGGAAGACTGAATTAGTTCCAGATGGAGAACTCTTTCAGCCCATCTAAGGCTTTCCAGTTGATTTAAGACAGCAGGTCAGTAATTTAGGGGAGTAGTTTTGTTCTTATTTGCTGTTCTGCTTCCTGCCATGTGTGGAATCGGTGATATCGAATATGATATTGCAGTGCTGCTGAGGGTGGGAGTTCCGTTGTACTTAATTGCTTTTGTTTTTAATTGCGTAATATAAACAGAAAAAATACTAACAAAGTTGTGATAACTAAGCATTTTGAATGTAGAGAGGTATTTTTTCCTTAAGACGTGAAAAAGGAGGAGGAGTCAAGAATCCATTTTTCCTAACCAGTTCTCTTAAAGAATGCATATCTTCCTTCAAAGTTTTGTCTTAAACTGGGTTAACGCAAGTACATGGTTTAAGGCGAGTGTGTCAGAGGGTCTTATACCTCGGCATGCTGCTAGCATGGTTTCTTGGTAAAATGGAGCGAGATAAGGGGATAGGGATGGAAACTTTCTGTGCATGGCTGTAATAACAGAAATAGAGAACATGAGGAATGGAAAATTTCAGTGTAAAGTAGCTGCTCTAGGTTATTGAAACTGACCCAACGTATTTAACTCTTCAGTACTTCTTTACGATTTATTTTGAGATGCCACATTGGACATTTAAAAAGCATGAAAAAAACAGTGTAGCCTATTCAGCTGTTCACATGCTAACAAAATCAGGACAGGTGCAGTAGCTCTTGTTGCAACTCTTGTATTTTTGCTTGCCATTGATTATTTCTTGTGCTGCCATTGTTTGATGCACTGTAGTATTATGATCTCATTTCAGACAGCTTTTCCAAGATGTCTGGTGATTAACTTCCCCCACAAGAATAACTTTTTACCTGTGTAAGGTCCACCATCTTGTCTACCCAGCCAATAGCCTTCTGGAGAAAAGTATTTCAAATGTTATTTCCCCCGGTGTTTGTTGGTTGACGAGCAAAAGAGGTCTTGTCCTTCATTCATTCTCATCTGATTCATCTTATTTTCTTTTGCTCATAAAACACAGACTGCAAAATAGAAAGCAATAAATGTGATAGTGTGTTTTCTTGTTGCAGGTAAACTGCTCAGGTGCAATTTCTCTCTTTCTTAATACAGACTTTGAATCTGTAGCATTATGGTGCTAACTAACATTACATGACTTGAGAAGAATACAGGTCACTGATTTTTTTGTTATTCTCTCTACTACTGTAGCTTATCACATTTCATGTAATTTGTAAAAGGAGAAAGCTCTAGTTGCAAACAATTTAATGCCTTTTTCTGTCAGATCTGTTAAAAAGGCTTTAAGGATTATTGCAAGTACTAATATTGAATTGCAAGCTATAACAGTACTGTATGGCAAAGTAAGTAACGTTGCATTATTTACAAGTAATTAAATAGAGAACAAGTCTGGAAAGCTCTTGGACATATTTTCCTAGATCTCATATTTACTGGGGTAACTGTGTTTGATTGCTGGAAGTTATAGTTCTTGATTATTGATTGCTCTCTTTGATTCAAGTTGATAACAGGTTAATTAGTACTAAGGGTACCAGTTCCTGCCCAGATTTTCTTGGTTGTGAAGGTTTTTCTGTTGCATGGTTATAAGACGACCTTAGACTGAGATCAAAGAAACTGTAGAATCTTGAAGAGGAGTTAATTATCATTGAAAAGGCTGTGTTGACATGCTTTAGAGGAGAAAGAACTTAAAAACACATGAAGTCTTTTGTGTGTGTGTGCACGCGTGCTATTTTGGAATAAAGAAATCTCCCTTAGGTAAATTCTTAGTGCTTTATCTTGGTATCATAATATTAGGAGTGTAAAATCCAGTCTGAAAGACAAGCTACAGAAGTCTCTTTATCTTTCATAAACTGCAGGTGACATGTGGTATCTTTGCTGCATTAGGAATTTAAAATGTATTACATTCTGAGCTACATACTTTTTTGCCTTCATTCTCTCTTTTTTTTTTTTCATTCTTAGGCAGAAAAAATGGAATAGACCACATGAAGAAGCATGTGAAGTTTATTTTTATGCAACATGTTATTTGGAGGACCAAGTAGACTTTTTCAGGCCATGGGAGATGAAAGACTAATCACGTGATACTTCTGTTTCGTCGACGTGCTCTTCTGTGCTAAGTCAATGTTGGTTTGTATTAAGGACAAATATTAATTTCTTAATGTCAGCATGTCGACTGTGACAAGTGCTCAGACACCGGAGGAACCTGATCCTCCCTGCCTTGAAGAGAAGCCAAAGGGAAAATCACTATTTCATTTCAGTTCGCTCTTTGCTAACAGGAGTGAAAAATTTGAAATTGCTAGGAGTGACAGTGTGCCAGAGGAAAACGTTCTGAAAATAACTATCACAGAGACTACGGTAATTGAGTCGGACTTGGGCATCTGGAATTCTCATGCTCTCATCTACCTCACTTTGTGGTTTTTCTTCAGCTTTTGCACTCTTTTTCTTAACAAATACATTCTTTCGTTACTGGAAGGAGAGCCCAGCATGCTAGGTAACCCTACATTTCTTTTACGCTTTAATTCCAGTAAGATATTTGACAATACCGCATCCTCCTGTATGAAGTTGAGGGACAAAATGGTTCAACTGAAGTGAACAAGACCTAGTTAGGAGATGTGGGGGTGGAATTTGGGGCTGGGAACTCATGAGTTGTGATCTCGGCCTGCCAAAGGGCTTCTGACACTGTCTTTTCCCCCACTCGCTGAAAGATGGTATGAAACTTGGCTCTTAGAGGAGCTATAAGATGGTGCTTAAGAACTAAGACCTGGAAAGAAAAATGTAATTTTTTGTTTTCTGTGTTGGAGGGTAGTGTGGGTTTTTTAAAAGAATAAAAGCTTGAGTCAGTTCTTGATAGTCTCCAGAGCTGTTAAGATTTTGTTTGTTTGCAGAAGTGCAAAAGTTGCTTTTGTGTGATCTCTGTTATTCAATGGGCTGCTTATTGCTTTTTTTCTTTAAGGGGGAAACAAGGGGCACTCTATCTATGAACCAGATTTTATGAGTATATGCCACCTTTGTTTTATTCTGCTGCCTTGCTGGTAGATGTAGAAGTAAAGGGCTTTTGTGAGAATTTATAAAATCTAGGCAGTAGTTGCCATGTTTCTTAACTGCTAAAAGTCCTACATATAAGTTTGTCTTAGAAATTTTCTTAGGTTCATCACGTTCCCATCATCTTCTGATTTTATTTTTTTTCCTCTCATCTTTCTTTAGGTGCTGTTCAAATGCTTTCAACCACGTTCATTGGCTGTATAAAAATGTTTGTTCCATGCTGCTTGTATCAACACAAAACACGTATCTCTTATCCACCCAATTTCATCATGATAATGCTGTTTGTTGGATTAATGAGGTAAATAGTTAAATATTTCCTAGAGATCCTAGGTTGCTTCATTGCGTTCTTCTGAACGGAAGCTGTGTTTTCATGACACATTCTTAATTGGAAAGTGTTTGGAGTGTTCACCTTTCCCCCCAAAAAAAACTACAGGGTAATTTTATTTTTAGTTCCTATTGCTAAATGCTACGTTCCTTTTTCCAGATGTCAATTTTTTGGCTAGCTTGGCTTCCCATCACATTTAGCTTCTTTCAGAACACACTTCTCTTTCCATTTACTTTCTTCCTGTTCCCTTTTGAGGCTGATGTTTGTTTAGCGTACTAATAATATTTGTTACGATGTTGCTTTGTTCCCTCACCTTTTCCTGCAATTTACCTCAAAAGTGATACAGGGTATTAACATTTAGCTTTTAAAAAGTAAATCTTTGTGGTGTGCTGGGATAGTATCAGTTTGTGGTCTAGGGGAGTAAAAATAGATGATTTGGTTTCCTCTACATTGCAAAAGCGATAAAGCATAAGATTCAAATTAATTAAGAGTAGCTGTATTGTAATAATTATGCTGCATTGTTGTTTAATTTCATGGTTTAAATTATGGTAAATATGTAGTGTACCTAATTTACACTAAATATGGATAACTGCAAATGATAAAATTTCCTTGGTGAATTCCTGTTTATCAGCAGAATTTGACTAACTTTTTTACTGAGCCTATTGAAAACTTTAGCTTAAAACACTGTAATCTGAAGCTTGGTTAGAGTGCATTAAAAAGTAAACTGTGATGTTTGCTTACACTGTACACCCATAGAAATTGCACAATTGCCCAAAGGTACCTTCATTTGTGCTAAATAAATAATAATGTTTAAACCAAAGCAGAAAGAAATAGATCTGACACATAGGTGTGCAACTGACCAGTTACCACAGTTCAGTCAAGCTGCTATGATTTGATAACTTGATTGCCAGCTACACCTGTCCATATTCTTAGTTACTGCAGCTCAAATTTATAAACCTAGAGAAATTATCATGCAATTCTTTTTTATGCTAGATGTCTAAGAGTAGCTCTTAAAGCATTATTTTATTTTCTGCTTAATTTCATGTGTTCTTCTGCTACAGATTTGCAACAGTAGTCTTGGGTCTTGTCAGCTTGAAAAATGTGGCAGTTTCATTTGCAGAAACTGTTAAAAGCTCTGCACCTATTTTTACTGTTATCATGTCTCGGATGATATTAGGGGAATACACTGGTGAGTACTCACTGTTGAAATGTGATTTTTTTTTTTTTTCTGATTTTTTTTTTTTTTAATACTGTCACTTAGTTGAACACTGACAAGGAAATTCCACTGAAATATAGCAAATGCAGCCGGAAGAATCATTCTGTTTGAACACAATAAGTAGAGTATAAATAAGTAAAAAAGGATTTATTTTAATGCAGCTGTGTAAGGGCATTGTTGCTCTGAAGTTATTTTTCTGTCAAGAAAATATTATTACAGCCTTAAGTAACTGAAGTTCAGTGTGTTCCTTCTTATAAGGACAGCTTGCTGCTCAGAATTTAAAATTCTTTATTTTCTTCACTGTGTTCACTCTGTGATTTAAAAACAAACAAAACAAACAACCAAAAAACCAAACAACTGGCTTACCACAATATAATTTCTTTGTGATTCCACTTGCAATTGCATGCTTTTTGCTTGAAGAGATTTTGCTTGTTACTAGCTATAAGTCACAGGAGTAATATAGAAGGCATGTATAGATTGCTTTGTGATGCAAAATGGCAAAAGGCTGAAATAAGTCAGAGGAAGAAGAGTAATTCAATCACAGAATAAACAGGGAGAGTATAATATTTCTTCTGTCATTTGGTGAAAAAAAGATGAAATTAAGACAGTCATCAGTCCCGTTTTCTTTCTCCAAGGGAAACACTTTTATCAGCGAGTGTATGTCCATATTGCTTTCAAGAGTGCCCTGCTATTGTCTGAGATCTCACTTTAGAACCTCTCTGCTTTAAAATCCAGTCACATAAGTTGCTTTTTCTTTCAACTAAAGAAGTTATGGTGGAATTTAAACTTTCAAAAACTATAGTATCTGGTACATGTAATTGGAAGTACGGTAATTAAACTCAGATTTAAATTTTTCTTCTTTTCTTTTGCAGGATTGCTGGTTAATCTCTCTCTAATTCCTGTTATGGGTGGGCTAGCTCTATGTACAGCTACTGAAATCAGTTTCAACATTCTAGGTTTCTCGGCAGCTTTATCTACTAATATCATGGACTGGTAAGGCATAACGATAGTTGCATATGTGGAATAAAGGAATTTTGTTTATTGGTAAATTGAAAAAAATTTTTGCTTTTAGTTAGTTTCGTATACTACATTTAAATGTTGGTATTTAAAATTTATCTTTAACAGTTTCTTTATCTGCTAGCATTAATTTTTTAAAAAATAGTACAACTCTGTTAGTCTAACGGAGTTAGACAGAACTCCTTTCTGTAGTTGTATGATGTGTAGAAAACCTATCTACGCATCTAAGGGAAACAACTGTCTTTCTCCTGGATTGATTATTTGACCTAACTAAAATACAGGTAAATGACATGGGTTGTTTCCTTTTTTTTTTTTTTTTTTCCAGTTTGCAAAATGTCTTTTCCAAAAAACTACTCAGTGGAGATAAATACAGATTTTCGTAAGTATTAAAAATATTTCAGGTTTGATTATAGATGGAATTTGGGCTACATAAGGAAACCACATATTTATGATTATATTGCGCCAAGATTTTTTTTTTTTTCTCAGGCTGTTTACAGACAGCTTTAACCTAAATCATTTTGTCAGGGAAAGAAAACTCCCCTATGCTTACATCCCGCTGTGGTAGGTTAGAGTCTCATAATCAGCTAAAACGCTCAGTATACCCAAAATGAGTCATCTTTTCACAGAAACAAGTCCTTATTCTGCATTCATAAAGCATCCCTAAATGTTTTTAGGCAGGCAGAAATGAACTTCAGAACCTGCTCGAGGTTTTAACTATGAAATGCGAGCCAGGAGTAAAATCTTGCAGTAAAATATACCTATAGCTATAGGTATGTATTTTGCGACAAGAAAAAAATGTTAGTTTTGGTCTTGAAAACATGAGCCTTTTATCTTCAGTCTATCTCAGCCAACACAAAAAGCAAAACGCTATCTTTGCAAGAGATTACTGAATTTGTTGTCCACAAAGCTTGGTAGATGGCTTTTATTACTTTCTGATATCTGTAAATACAATAATCATGCAGCTTTTTTCAGCTCTAAGAAAGGGGGATCTTTTGATCATTTTAATCATTGTTTTTTCTCCTTTGTAGAGCCCCAGAGCTTCAGTTCTACACAAGTGCTGCTGCAGTGGTTATGCTTATTCCAGCTTGGATATTTTTCATGGTAATTTGAATTCACTGACACAGATTTATGTTTTCTTTTTGACTTGTGAGCAGAATGTGCAACTAAGGATAATCTTAATTTTTACTTTTCACTCTTCCCATTTTTTTAGACCACTCTGAAATTAATTTCATTTTACATCTGCAAGAGACTGGGGGGGCTAAAAATGAGAAAGTTTTCAAAGAAATAATTTAATATAGACATGAATTGCCAAGTGACCCAGGAAGACTGAGTTTATCCCAGGATTTTTGAGATCAAATTGTAATTTTGTCTAAGTGCATTTAAAGTGTTAGATAAAGACTTGAAAACGAAATCTGAAATATTTGTTGACTTTTTGCCGATATTCACATGGTGTATAGGAATGTTAACTCTCTGAAAGCATAATTGAGCTAAAGTAAGTATAATGTATCAGGTTAAATATGTGTCCTTCATATTCTGGCGTTTCATTGCCATGCATCAGTGTTCAAAAAAGAAAATAGCCTACAGGTGGGCCGAACACACTGGAAAGTTCAGTCAGATGAGAGCTGTTTTTCTAATATATTCTTTTGTGGGGGAAAATTTGTAGGATCTACATGTGTTGTATGTTCTAGGTCTTGTTTTGCTGAAGCTTAAATGTAAAATTCTATCTGCTTATAATAATGAGTTGGGTGGAAAATCATGTTTAGATTTGCTTATAAACTAAACTTTTAGAGCCTTCTTTTTTGTTGTTGTTTAGGATGTGCCTGTGATTGGGAAAAGTGGGAGGAGCTTCAGCTACAACCAAGATGTTGTCATACTTCTCTTAATAGATGGAGTCTTGTTCCACCTACAAAGTGTTACAGCCTATGCCTTGATGGGAAAAATTTCTCCTGTGACTTTCAGGTAAAACTGTATTTTCATGTCAAGAACACTAATTTATTTTCTTTTTTTCTTGCTCAGTATTTCTGCTTGAGAACTAGGCAGTAAAGGTATTGTGCAAAGAAATAAATAATATAAATGCATCAAAATAAGAAGAAAACTCTTCACATCTGGATCACCAAAACTTTGTGGTTTGCTCCCTCACTGTGTGAGGAGAGCAGCATTTGACCCATGCTGTTGAGCTTATGGCACAGGTGCTCACATTTACTAGCAGGGGTATTGTGTTCAGGTTTAACAGCCATTCCTTAAAGCTGGTTAATGAGACTGAAACAGATTCATCGAAACCCTAGATCCAATGTTTAAGCTGCTGTTTGTTTCAGTGATAAGACAATACCTATATACATCTCGGTGCAGTACAGAATGTGAGCAATCAGCTCTCCATTCTTTGTTTCTGAAGCATGACACGAGCATGTCAAGCTGTATTTCTTGAGTTATATGTGTTCTCTAAAGACAGCTTCCACCTACGTTGTCAGTTATCGGCAGCTTTGTTAGGCTGTTACACAATTCTGATTCGATAACTGGTCATTTGTACGAATAGCCCGAGGGCCTGTGGGGTAATCCTGGTTCTAAACTCTGAAGGCTTCTGCTGTCTTATACTTTCAGGTGCCCCTGCCACAGTCATGTGACAATTCACTGTTAACACACAGGCTTATTCTGAAGTTGTTAGTCTTCCCTACGTAAAAGGATGTAAAAGCATACATATATTCGTATTTACATCTATACAAAATTTCTTCACTACTTGCTATGATGTTATTGGTATGATTTAGGTATTGATTCTTTTGAGGTTATAATGTTATATTACCTCAATAGTAGCAGCACACTCGCAAATGATAATTATGCTGCTAGTGTTCTGTAGCACTTTCTGGATGTCTGTGTTAGCTAGAAATGAATTGCTAACACTGTACTGCATACTTAAAAGCAATGAAAACAAAAACCTGAGATGAATTATTTGTACTAGCTCTAAAATTAAGATGAGTGTGAAAATACGAGTGCTGATATACAACCAAATTGGTATTAACTTCAGGAGGAAAAGTGGAATCTGAGTTGGTGATTAAAAAGCAAGCAAAACAAAGAGAGGTCCTGCTACATTAAAGCCTGGTTGTGTGTGGAATATGAGAAAGCTTTCTTTGGCCTTAATTGTTATATTCCTTTCCAGTGTTGCTAGTACTGTGAAGCATGCGCTGTCAATCTGGCTAAGTATTATTGTGTTTGGTAACAAAATTACAAGCCTCTCAGCCATTGGGACTGTTCTAGTGACAATTGGAGTTCTACTATATAACAAGGCAAAGCAGCATCAGCAAGAGACTATACAGAGCCTGGCAGTTGCAGCCCCGCAATCTGCACAAAGTACAACTGAAGATACTGAGCCACTAATTTCCAAGGATTTGGAACCGTATGATTAATATGGTCATTTATTCTTCCAGCCTAGTGTAACTCAAAGGAACTCTTCCTGAAAGTAGTTGTTTCTTCAACTGTTAATGCTGATTTGGTTTCTTTGAGTTCATGGCAGGTCAAGCCTGGGACTTGAAGCAGAGAGAAAACAATGGGAAGAATCCAGTAAGCCTTGATTTACTGAGAGACTGATATACCAAACAGAGGACCTAGTGTCATGTAATGTCATAAACTTGGGCTTTATTGTCTTTCCTTGACTGCAAATAACATACAAACCTATATAAGAGAAGGAACTTCAGTGTCTTGTGGGAAGATGATTCCTTCCTCCATACCCATCAAAATAATGTGAAAACGTGGACCCATCACTGTATTCTGCTTGCAGTGGAATGAAATTGGTGCATAACTGAAATTCCTAGTTGTTTGTTACTCTGCTCTGCCTGCATCCTCTGTCATTTCTGTGCGTTGTAGAGCTGGAAGAAGGAACCCCCTCCTCTCCCAACAGATGACTTATTCTGGTATACATTTAGTTGAAGCAAACTATGGAAATGAGCCCGTGCCCCAAAGCAGTGATGAGCAGCTATTTCTGTCTACAAAGCTAGGAATGAAAAAATGATTTTTCTGCTAAACTTTGACATGGAAATAACTGCATTCTGGTTGTGTATTGACAATCTTGAAATGCAAGTATACACACATATACATACACTGTATAAATGGAGGGCTGAATTAAATATCTGCAGTTGCTTAGAGGTAAAAAGCACTGAAAATTTTTGGTGATAAAGGAAGCAGGATCTCTATATTTCTATAAGAAACCTTTTTGATATTTTAATTTCTTGCATTTTATTATGTATTTCTGTTATGAGGAAATAAATTGATTTTTTTTTTGGTATTATTTCTAAGAGTGCAACAAAATACTGCCTTTTAGAAACTCAGGGTTATAATTCTGACCTATGTGCAAAGTATTTCTATCATTTCTGATCACGTAAAGAATCTCAGAGGTATCTGTGATAGAGATGGAAGAGAGGTCACTAAAGGGAGGAATATTAACTATGAACTGAGGCTAATCTTTATTTCTACAGCTCTTAAGAAGTTTTCTTTTAAGGAAATTCTGGTTTGTGGTAGATCAAAGATTGAAAGTTAACTTTCCTTTCCAAAAAAAAAAATCTTAAGTATTAGTAATTAGTTTTGGCAAAAAAGCACATGTAGCTACAAAAACATTCAAATGGACTTTTGGTAACAAAATTAAATTAACAATTAAAATGAGCTGATTTTTAATAATTGCCACTCTTCTGAAAGATTGTAGCATGGCATTAGAAGCATAGATAAAGTGGTCTTTATGGTAAAAATAATTTCTAATAGGAAGTTACCAGTGGAGTTCCTGCAAAATTTAAGCTCATGCTTATGTTTCCATGTGTGAAGTATTCCGTTAGCTTTAGGAACTATTCCTGCAGAGAGCAAAAATGTGTTCCAAGAGAGTCTCTGAAGAAGTCTATCTTCTGTTTAAATCATGTGTGCTTGTTTTGTCCTATGTCTTCAGGTTACATTCCTATACATGACTGGTTGCCTGGGGTGTATTCCCTGTAGATTTGAGTGGGAGGGAAATGTCAATTTTTTTCATCATTGTATATGTGATGTCTGTGGTTTTTTGTTTCTTTGAACTCCTGTCACTTTTACAAAAGCTGTGGACTGCGGGGTGGAGCTCTGTGGTTTTTTGGTGGTTTGTTTTTGTGTGTGTGTGTGGTTTTGGGGTTTTTTTTGTGTTTTGTTTTGTCATTATGTTTTCAAAAATCTTAGTGTATTTGGCAGAAAACAGTGTCTGGTTTGCATTATATTTCTACTCTTGCTGGAAGACAGAAATGTAAGTGGCTTTCTGGTTACCTATCTCCATTCTCCTGTAAACTCCTTCATCAACTGATGGAGCTTCATTTTAAAAACTAGCAGCCTTTGCTATTGCTGGAAAACTTTTTGTGAACCAAACAGCAGGGAGGATTTTGGAACTTGGGATTTCTAACACCTGTAAGCTTTTTACTGGCTGGTTTAGCCCCACCTGTTCTGTGGCAGCAGGATAATCCCGTTTTACTAGGGGTTTGTCTTCACAGCATTGATCTTGTGTACTTTTCTATTCAGTCTTCTTGGCCTTTATTAGCTTAAACAAACTGACCTCTTTACCATCCACTTGTAAGACCTTTTCTTCCTCCAGTCATACTGGTAATTCTCCTTTGCTATTGTTCCTGTTGGGTAAATGAGGACCATTTTGTTCCACGTTAAGAATTCATTACAGTATTATACTCCACCTATCTGCCTCTTCATTGCTTTGTATGATGGCAGTAGTACTGCCCAATTTCTTCTGGAAAGTCCTCTGTTTAAACACTCTGGTGTTTCTTTCACTGGCATGTCTCACAGCTGCACCCCTGATACTCGTGCACTGATCAAGACGAGCTCTGTGAGCGGATTATTTCTTTTACATCTGTCAAATACTTTCTCATAGAAACAGCAGATCTTCCTTAAAATGTGAATTCCTGAAATAAGACAAGTCCTTGCTGAAGAACACAGACTTGCAAATGGTAAGGTGTTACTTGCAGCAGTTGACGTGTTTCTAAAATGACATTATTTCCCGGTTAAGACAATGGATGGATAATAAAGTAGCTGCGCACAATGATCTTTCTTATGGTGTATTACGTAGTAACCTCTCGTCATGGTTAAGTAACCTCACCACTTTGACGATAAGTGTGTTAAGTTCTGTTCTGCGTAGTCTCAACTAATTTTCCTTTTTAGGAGTTGCCCTTCTCACACTGAGTTAATGTAAATTCTCCTTCACGGTGTATTAGTTCTGTAAGTGACTTGTTTAAATGACTGTTGGAATCATGCTTTATTCAAATGAGTAATAATAAAAAGAATTGGTTTTTATATGTAATTATAAGGACGGTCCTGAAGAAGACATGTGAAGACACATGTGCTGATGGTTTCTCCTTTGCTGCCACGGACGTGTGCGTGTTGTGGGCTGGGTTGGTTGGTGATTGCCGAGCTGGGCCGTTAACTCCCTTCCCGCCAGCGGGACGGCGGGTGCCGTGTAGGAAACGGCCCCCTTGACGATTCAGTAGCGGTTCTGGTGACTCCCGTGGGGCCCACGGGCGATCTCGCTCTCGCAGCGGGTTTGGATGGAGGAAGGCCCAAGCCCTTCATGGCGGCGCCCTTCCACCACTCTCTCCCGGGCGCCTGCGCCAACGAGCGTACGTGGGACGTCATCAGCCTGCCCCGGCGGGCGGAAGTGACGCGTTTGTTTTGCGCGGTTCGTCCCAGTCTCCGGTAGTGGTGACGGTGAGTGGGCCCGGCTCCTACGGGTGGTGGCGGGGGGGGGAGCGGCGCCGTCTCT